GAGAACAAAGGGTCGTCGAGCCTAAAATAGGGCGTGTCCCAGTCCACTAATGCATCTGATTTTGGGCGCAACCCAACCCCTTTTGTGTGCGACCCAACCCCATTTGTTTGTGCGACTAGTTGCGTCCAAAATAAAATAGAGAGCATTTGAGCCTCATTCGAGTTTGATTTTTGACGTGATCAGTCCCGCCCTATTTTGAATACGACTGGTTGTTACAGATTTATAAATAAATTTCAAATTGCAACATTTTCGTAATTATTTATTAAAACAATATTTTAATTTTTCAGCCCGGAAAAATTATTTTGCGATGAAGGAAGATAGCATAAAGAAATACAAGAGATTAATGCAAATCATACTTCTTCTCACTGATACATTCTGAGGGGGGGTTGTATTGGATTGAGATTTTAATTGATTATTTTTGGACAAAAAAATCTATTGGTATTCAATTAGGATTTGAAAGGATTGAAAAAAATTACGTAGTATTCGATTAGGATTTTAAAAGATTATTTTAGAGTCCATCCAAATCCGGTGGTATTCAATTCGGATTTTAAACAAAAGAAAAATAATCTTGTGATATTTAAAAATCTGACGATTTTAGTGAATTTTCTATTGGTGTGGATTTCGTAAGACTTTTTAGTGAGAAGTATAGATAGAATGTCTCTCTCACAATCTCACCCTAACCCCTATGATTTCTTGAGATTTCTCTTTTGCAATGTCTTCTTCTTCCTTTGGCGGATCAACCAGCTTGAAATCGGGTTCCGCCGTGGGAGCTTCGCCAAAGTTAAAAAATAGCATATTTTTTTAGCTCTTTTCATCACAAAACAACCCAAAAACAACAATCCAACAAGATTCTAATCTAGTCCATATCAAAAATAACATTTTTTTGAGAGCTTTTGGAAGCTTAAAAAATGATTTTTCAAGCTATAAGTCGCTATTTTTCTTGGCACAAAAATATGTGAATTTTGTATTAAAAACAAAATAAAACAATGGAAAAACAATAAAAAAAACCCCAAACCAATTTTTGTTATACATCAATGAAACAAGATTGATTTAAAGAAAGATTAAAATTTTCATAATATGAACCTTATGTCTCATAACAATACATTCATGAACGAAATTTCTTCGTTATAGGAAACGATTTCAAACAATTTTTGTGTCAATAGATCACTAAAGACTTGTTTTTCCAAATCAATTAAAAATAATTCAAGAAATTTTCTAAAATTTAATATAATAAAACCTAGAAATTCATATTTAGAATTTTCTTAGAATACTCAATGAAAATATGCATATGATATATGGTTAGAAAAATTTCATCACGTAGAACAAAAACCTCAAGGTTTCCAAGATCAATTGTAAAAAATTCCAAATAAAATTTTATCATTAACTTTAGGTTATATATGCAAATTTTGAATTATTTTAATAAATACAAAAATTGTGGGTTTTATAATCATATATGCTAGCTTTAATACCAAATTAAGAAATTCAGGTTTGTAATGCTATTACAGAGTTGTGGTGTACACCGGTAAAGATTGTTGCAGTGAACTCCACTTTGTTAGTGCTGATCCCGAAAACTAAGAGGCCTGAATCTATTACTCAATTTCGTCTGATATCACTGTGTTCAGTTCTATAAAATCCTGGCTAAATTAATTGTAGCGAAACTGAAACCTGTTATAGAAAAGATCTTCTCCCCATCCCAGGTTAGTTTTGTGCCAAATAGACAGATCCAAGATAACATTATCATAGTGCAAGAACTCTCATTCAATGAGCAAAATGAAGGGGAGGAAAGCTTTTATGGCAATTAAAATCGACCTTGTCAAGGCATATAACAAGGTAAGTTGGCAGTTCATGAGGAATACCTAAGAAGAAATCCATCTCCCTGATGCCATGGTCAAGCTGATCGTGCAATGTGTTTCTTCATCCAGCATCAATGTCTTGTGGAATGGAGGGAAGACTGATGATTTTTGTCCTTCTAAAGGCCTTAGCCAAGATGACCCAGTTTTTCCTTATCTCTTTGTCTTGGCCATAGAGAAATTGGCTCATATTATTGATACTGCTACGAAATGTGACCTATGGAAGCCTATGTGGGTTGGCAAAGATGGTCCAAGGATCTCTCATCTAGACTTTGCTGATGACTTGATGGTGTTTATGGAAGCAAGTGAGGCACAAATACACATTCTCCTCAAATGCTTAATCATATTCGAAGAGTTATCAGGCCAGAAATTAAGTGTGGAGAAGGCAAGCGTTTTCTTCTCAAAAAATGCCTCTGAAGAAACTATTAACAAGATTGTGCAAACTAGTGGCTTCAAAAGAGTCAAGAATGTTGGGCATTATCTTGGCTCTATGATGCAACATGGTCGTGTGAAGAGGAGCTTATATGATGGAATAGTTGAATGGGTAAAGGAGAAAATGAATAACTGGGAAAGGTAGTGCCTATCCCAAGCAAGACGAATAACACTTGCTTATTCGGTAATGCAACAATTCCATTCTTCTAGATGCAAAGTTCCACGCTACCGTCATCGATTTGTAATGAAATTGAAAAGCTTCAAAGGCGTTTTATATGGGGAGACACTGAAAACAATAAGAAACATCATCTGATCAATTGGGATGTGATCACCTCACTCAAAGAAGATGGTGGTTTGGGTTTAAGAAAATTAAAACAGATGAACAATGCCTTTCTAGCAAAAAAGAGCTTGGATGTTTCATTTTGAACCTCATCAGCTATGGTCTCAAGTGATACAAGCAAAATACGTAAACAGAAACAGAAGTCTTATGCCATTTGTTTCTCAAAGAGGTGACTCCAATTTGTGGAGAAATTTATGTAGAATTTGGTCTGAATTGAAAGGGCAGCTATCATGGGCGCTTGGCAATGGAAGAGAGGCAAGATTCTGGTATGACAAGTGGCTTCTGGATGTAGGACCCTTACAAGAGCTAATTCCTAATGGAGATTTGATTTTAGATGTAAATATTAAAGTCGCTGATATGGTTACTCCATCGAGTATTTGGAACTTTGAGTCCTTTGGGAGTGACTACTAGATAGTGCCATTGCTGCTATTCGAAGCACTCTACCACCTGCTCCAGAAGATGGCCCTTACAAGAGAATGTAGTTCAACGTTGGGGTTGTCAGGGTTTCGGTAAGCTCAATATTTAACTGCTTGTCGAGGCAAGAGAATGTTGAAGAGGAGGTTAGGAAGGTATGGCAACGGTTGTGGGCTTGGAAGGGCCCTCAAAAATAAAAAAAATTCATGTGGAAGATTTTGCATAATAGGTTATTGACAAGACTTAAACTATCCCAATGGGGTGATTCTGACCCTAGTTGTCCATGTTGCAGGCTTGAAGCTGAATCAATTATTCCTACTTTAAGGGATTGTGGGGAGGCTACCCAGGTATGGTTGAAGCTTAAGCTTGATCTTTACGGGTCTAGTTTCTTCACATAGGACCTTTCGCTTTGGCTATCAAAAAATATTGGCAATGGTGTTTCTTAGTCGCCATCAATTTCATGGCTAACCACTTTCATCATATCTTGTTGGAAATTATGGCACTAGAGGAATGCAGTACACTATGGGGGTAAGGCTCCTCCTTTGGATATCAACGTTCGAGCACTTAAAGAGCTGGTACTGTATGTGGAAAAAGTGAATGAGGGGCTGGTTGATAGGCTAGCAGGCACGGTCAATATTAATACTAGAATCTGTTGGCAATTTCCTGAGGTTGGATCTATCAAAATAAATTTTGATGGTGCGACTCATGGCAACCCAGGGCCAACTGCCTGTGGGGGTCTGATCTGGGATTCAAGAGGCAATTGGTTATGTGGATTTGCCAACCGGTTAGATATGTGTTCATCCTATAAAGTTGAGTTATGGGGTATTCTTTGTGATCTGGAAGTGGCGCAGAGTGAAGGATACCGAAATGTGATATTAGAAAGTGATTCATCAAGTGCAATCACCAGCAGTTCGTGAGATTCAACTTGTCTCTCGTATAGGGACATGGCTTAACAAAGCCTGGCAGGTGCGACTACAACATACATATAAGGAAAGGAATATGTGTGGATTGGCTGGCTAATTCCATTTTGGATGATAGGGACCTAGCTGATCAACTAGTTTTTTAGGAACCTCCACATGGAAGACATTTGATGTATTTGGCTGATCTTGTCGCTGTTGGTAGGAATCATGCCGTAGTTTACTCGTGATAGGGTAACTGTAGTTTTTTTTTTTTTTTATGTTCTGATTTTCTTTTTTGGGTTTGTTTGTTGTCTTTGTTTTAAGCCTTTGGACCTTTTGTCTACCAAAAAGAAAAAGAAGATAATTTTCAACTCATTGATCAAATCCAAGTGGATCGAGAAAATTATATTAAGTTTTATTTTTTTATTAAAATTATTGCATTTCTTTATTTTTATTAAAATTATCTTCTAAAAATATTTAAAATTATCTCAAAATATTTAAAATTATCTCAAAATATTTAAATATCTTCTAAAATTATCTTTAAAATCACTACAATTCTAGATAATCTTCTAAAATATATAAAAAAAATTTATCTCAAAATAGTCTTTTAAAATCCTAAACCAAAACAACATAAGTCTGTCTTTCGCTGGAGTATTAGGGTGACCAATATGTCGATGATACTTCTTGTTACTGTGCATGAACAGGAAAATAAGATAAGCGAAGCTCAACTAGAGTCTTGATGATAGCACACATTGGGCTGATGAACCACAAATGGCGTAGCCCGGGGCTTCAAAGATTAGTCTTGCTCCTGCTGACTGCACAAGACTAAAACTAGTAAGGGAGGGAGCGGGGCTATACCTTTAGAAGGCACCAAAACTTGAAAGTCTATACCTTTACTTGGTGCCAACAAATCCAATTCAACCATTGAGAAAGCCAAAGACAAATTATATTGGTTAAATTCATGAACGAAGGATAGAAATGGCCGTTCAACCATCGGAAACCACGATTCGAACATCAAAATTAGACCATCAAGTTCCTAAGTTCCAACCTTTAACACGGTAAAAATGGCATAACTTGTCTAGCTTATGTAATTTTAACAGAAACCCCAAACAAAAGATATTCTCAATGGATCTCTTTGTTTTACAGAAATGGGGATACGGGATACTATTCCTAATGCTGAGTAAATGAAGTGGAGCATAAAAAATAGTTACTGCCTCAACGATTTATTGGAGTGTTCATATGCTCGACAATTCTGGTCACAGCTTCTCGGGACATCACCAATGTGTCGTGCAGCAAAATGCTGTAGACATTCAAGCCCTACAAAAACATGTCAAACCCATCATATATCAACATTAACATCAACACCACTTTTATCCCAAAGACCCAAACTCATCATATATAAGCAAAGGAAATTTCTTCATTAGCTGGGAGTACGTATGAAATTAGCCACATAATGATTAAATTATAGGCTTTAAAGCATGACCGTTTTAGGAGAGTTAAACTTGTAACAACTAGAACCATAAGGCTGGCAAGTTACTATTTGATAAGAAAGATGAAAGCAATATTTTTTCATATATAATTGACAAAAAGATGCAAGTGCATGTTAGGTGGAGGAAGGGAGAGAGGGAATGTTTTAGGATGATGTAAACACTACTAAACAGTAGGAAAGAATAAACGAGACCAGACTATGACAAGAGAACGGCATATCATAGAACTAATTTGGTTTTATGCCAAAAAGGTCAACCATGGTTATATACTGCAGGGTTTGATGGAAAGGTGTACAAAAGGAACAAAAAGACCGTCACATGGTCTCCGTCGATACAGAAAAAACAGTACATACTCAAGGTATAAAGGATACATAAGATGAGACAATGACTAGAGTGCAAACTCGATAAAGATTTTTCATGAGCACATGTTTGCACCAAGAATGAAGAATCAACTTCGAGTTTGTACCATTTTACCTTAGCATTGGGCACATCCAAGAGCCAGCGCCTCAATGCATACTTTGTGGATGATGTGATCCTTGATAAGTCTCAAGAATGAGTATATTCTAAACAAAATTTTGCAGAGAAGCTTTGGAATCAATGGGCTTACAATTATGTAGGAAAGAGAAAACAGTATATGATGTGCAAGTTCAGTAAGACACGAGTTAGTGATGTTTCGGAGGTGAATATTTGGGATTATTACACCATACGACAAGTTGTACAATTTAACTATCTTAGATCCATCTTACAAAGTGACGGAGATGCCACACATAAAATGGAGAGATGCTTCAATCGTAATTTATGGTTACAAATTGATTATCAAGCTCAGATGGAAAATTCTATTGGATAGCAATAAGATCAACAATGGTTTATGGTAGTGAATGTCAAACAATTAGTGCCAACAAGAGCCGAAAAATCAGCCGAATATATAATATTATGAATGGAAATTTCTGGAGGAAAGTTGGAGTATCCCCTATTGAGAAGAAAATGACGGAAACTCTCCTAAGATGATATGGTTGTTGGAAAAAAGACCAATAGAGGTACTAGTGAGAAAAATGAATCAAATGGAAAATAGTCTGATGAAGAAAACTACTACGAGAACCATTAAAAAAGACCTTATTCTAAAATGGTTTTACTAAAATTGGTTTTTGATGGAGTCCAGTGGTGTCCATTGATTATTGATCCATGTACCTGACTGACCCCACACCTAGTATAAGGCTTGGTTGTCACTATTGGAAATGTATCGATTCATGGAAGCATACTATAAACTTCAAACGAAATCTACAATGTACAGTTATATTTATCACTTCCATCCAAACTATGATAGAAGCAAAATGGATAAAACTTGGACTTACAATGGAGGGAAGTACGTTAACATAATGTAGATTTTGTGTAGCTAATTTTAACTTTTCATCTATGGGACCACCATCTACGAGTAGAAGTTTCTTGGTGTCCTCCATTTGTTTGAAATAGTTCACAATGTTCCTGGTTTTGTGTGTGGGAAGCTCCAGATCCTCAAACACAAGAAGCTGTATAAAAAAACAATTCCCCAGAGATAAGTGTACATAACTCAAGAACAAACTCTTAGTAAACATATAATGCAAGAAAGGAAAAGGAAGTATAAGAAGCAGTACAAACAAGCTAATTAGGGATGAAAGAAGTTAAAAGAACACCTTATGTACAAATGAGCAGGATAGGGATACATGCCCAAAAGAACCATTTAAGTCACAGTAAGAAAGCAGACAAAGGATAGCTGATGCAGGAACATCGCCATTTTCTTTTTAATTTATGAGTTATTTTCTTGTTCCCCATTATGTTTCTTAACATGGTCTTACTGTATTAAGTAGTCACATGACTGACAAGTCACCTTAATGACCAAACTCAGACTCTAGAGAGCAGAGTTTAGAGGGGGCATGTATTTTGGGCAGGGGCTTAGTAAAGTACAGTTAACCTAGTATAAAGGGTCTCTAGGACTATACACTCAGCTGCCATATGATATACTTTTAGATACAAAGAGATTTTTAACCCCAGAACCCTAATTCGTTTGTTCCTACTTCAATTCTCTCTACACTAAACCATAATTTTGTGAAGAAGTTGCAGTCAATCTATTTTCTCGACACAAGGTGTTCAACTAAAAGAACAGCCTGCATTGGTTATTTATATAAATATATTACATACGAAGTACAGTAAAATTATACGGCATAATTTTATAGCCCAAAAAGAAATAAAAACAACAAGATTGGCAATCGGGAATGTGAGGCTGAGAACATTCATACGAAATTCTAAATGCAAACTGATTATACAGCGCATTTCACTGAACTATATCTTTAATTTTGATATCAACGATAATATCAACAACAAAGAAGTCCCTAAAAGAAATAAGAATATCCCGTATCTTGCCAGTTTAGCTGCTAAATCATTAAACAATTAATTATAAATTCCACAGATTAAATCTTCATGTACACTCATGTATCAGACAGAATAATGTAGAGAAGATGTCCTTTTTTCTTTTCAAGGAGAGGCCAGGAAGGGGTAAGGGAAGATACTTGCCTTTCCTTCTGCAGCACGAGCTGACATAGCAATCTTCAGCCCCAGACGTCGAACCTTCTTATTGAGTTTGAAAGCATGGCTTCGGGGCTTAGGGCCATGCATAGTGGCACCACCCCTGAACTATTACCATTCATTATTTGTTAATTTCAACTGCTGAAAAAGAAGGGGGGGAAAAGGAATACAAAATCTATGAAGGAAGGAGGAAAAGAGATAGAATGGCAATTAATGAGCAGAATGCTCCAGTACCTGAGGCCCACGCAATGAACCATGCCTTGCTCGACCAGTTCCCTTTTGATTCCAAGGTTTTCTTCCCGTCCCGCTGACCTCACTGATAGTTTTTGTTGAGTGAGTTCCCTATTGGCCAAATCAATTAGCAAACGCATAACATTCTCATGGAAAGTTTTCATAGCTAATTTAGATCCATACTACTAGATAAATTATACATTCAATACCATTATATGTTGATAGACACCCTCCTATTAATAGAGTCTATGTGAGCATAAATAAAGGGAAAGGAAATGGATTAATGACTCAAGTGAACAAGAGAGGTTAGGTAGAAGGGAATATGTATGGGGGATTTTCTTGTTACTTCCATGACATGTGGCAACAGGGCAGAGAGAAGTGAAGGTGTAAATTCTGTTAAAGAAAATGCTTAAAGGGGAGAGAGGAAGAGAGGGAAGGCAGGTAGAATTGGGTAGAGGGAGGTATTGAGTGGGGTTGGCTGTTCCTAAGGCTGGGACTCTATCATGGAGTCACTCTATTCTGTAATTCTTCATTTCTGTTTGTTCTTGTTTTTCAAGAATTTCAGATTCTCTTCTGGTGTTAGGAATTAGCAACCCCTTTCACTAATAGAAAAACAAAGTTCCCATCGTTCATCAAGTGTAAGAAGAAATATATATTATTAAGATATTTCAAGCAATAAATGATAAAGCATCAATGGAAACATTTTTTTACTTAAACATCTGAATAAATGTGCCAAACTGTAGTTATTGTCACAAATCCAAATGTTTGTCCCTCATCCCAATTCCCTATTCAAATCCCTCCCCACAATCAATTTTCAATGCAAATATAAGTGATGAAAGAAAAAAATGATAGAGTATTTCCAGCATTCAACATCAGAATACATCCTATATATCGTTAAGCCAATATAGAAAAATAATCACCAGTCTAGCCTGACTAAGAAATATAGCTTTTCCCCTGGATTACATATGTCCAATGAGAAACAAGCTTTAGATTCCAAAACATTATGCAGTCACAACCTGTTGTCGTTTTGCAAGTTGCCACCTAACAACACGATGAATAATATCCTTCCGAATAGGCATATCAAAAACATCTCCAGCTAAGACCATAAAGCCCTTGTCTTCATTATGAAAGTTGGTAACTGGAATTAAAAGATCCTGACAAAGCCCTACATCATAATGAAATATATAAATAACACTCTTAGATCTTATTGAAACAGGAATCAACTCATGCCATGATCAATGCTAGATGGGTTGCCATTATAGAAGGTAGGTAGTGAAAAAAACAGAGAACATGATCAAAGATGAACTCAAAACTATTATCTCTGCTTTGCTCTCATTCTTGAAAAAGTCAGGTGCATCATTAAAGAGGAAGATTGCGGCCCTACATGCAGTTAAGAAATAGTGAATGCACTTGCTAACCAACATAGGATAGTAATAAGAAAAATGTCCAATACATGACTTTAGTGGACGACATAAAAGTTCACTGGCCACAAGCTCCTTCAATTTCAGAGCAGAAGCAGATCATTAGGCACACATAAAATATTAAGTTCTGAGTTTAAGGATCAAATGACAAAGCCACAGAGAATGTCAAAAAGAATATTTACAAAACACGTAGTTGCATACATTGTATCTAATTTTAGGTATAAATATGCTCTTAGAAAAAGCATACAGTAAGTTCTGACATGTAATATACATAGAAACGCATTCAGTCAGTTGCAGGTGATATTTGGAGGAAATTATGCATCTTCATCCCTTTCCTCTGAACACTACCAAAAAGTATAATTGCCTATTAATTTTGATAAGGAAAATACATAATGCACAACAAATCAAATCTCATATCTCAATAATCAAAACCAAATTGGAACTTCAAGCCTAGCAATCAAATAATCTTTCCTTTCAGCGATAAATATCAGAAGAAACACAATGAAGAACCAGCATATACATGTACAAAATGCTCCAAATTATCCTTCATACCTATAGAACGCTCAGATGTTGCCAGAGGCTTTTTCGACAATAAATCAGACGGAAATGCACCTTCATCAGGCCTAGGAGGTAAAATAGAAGTAGAAAACCGTTGGATCATTGACCTGGCCTACATTTAAATATCAGTAAACAACCAGCACAAGAGATAGCTGCATCGATTAAATATTCAATTTGAAAGAAGCTACAAATATAGAACGAAAATTAAATGCAATGACAATGTACCAAGAGAAGGCCAGAACGTTCTGCAGAAAACAGACTTTCCCCAGATAAACTGCTGTATATATCTGTGGATGAAAAATCATCGTATATATAACGATTCATAAAACGAAAATAATAATAATAATAAATAAATGAAAATCGAATTAAGGGGAAACTACATAAACGTATTACCATGTGAATCACAGCAACGTCGTCGTAGCAAATGCAAGGACCCGGAAGAACGTAGTAGCCTTTTGGAGATCAAGGCCGCCATACTTGTGAGCAAACAAACTGTGATTTCAACCAGCAACAAGTGGATTAGCAATGGTGAGAGTGCAATTACATGAAGTGCCTCAAAATGATCAAGCAATTTCGCGAAACATTTCATCAAACACATTGTAATCAACTTAATTTCACAGAACCAACCATCATCAAATATCTCACAGCATTTTTACCATAACCAGGTCCCTCAGCAATTTATATAATGATGTGAAAATGAAAATCAAACACTATCGGATGCTAACTTAAACACTGAGCACGTAAAGAATAAAAGAACTTATTAGTTACCAGCGACCGAACGAAAATCAGAATAAGAATCCCAACTTTCGCTCCTTCTATGCCTCCATCGAAGTTGCTGCTCTTTCCCACCGGCGAGGTAAGCTCGTGACTAATCAAATGTTTCAGAGGGCAGCTTTCGCTGATGGGCCTACTTGAGCTTAGGTCTGAAATGGGCTTTGGGCTCCTACCATCTTTTCATAAGCCTGAAGAAATTAAGACAGCTCAGCCAGGTCTGAAAAATACGGCTAGCCCAATCATGCAAATAGTTTAGTTTAAATATAAAAAATAAAACAAAATCGACATAACTATATTTTCTTTATGTTTGAACGAATAAAGTCGACTCAACCTAAAATAGCAACTTCCCCATTTGATTATTTCATTTACCACCCGCTGTTTGAAATTTCATCTTATTTTAAATTTTTTATTATATTATTATATGAGTAAGCAGCTGATTAAGAAAGGGAGAAAGACAGCTTGACGAATGATTAAATCTTCGGTCTAAATACTTAGATCATTGTCAATTAAGTTACTATTGAAAAGACTTAGGTCATTGTCAATTAAGTTACTATTGAAAAGGGTTTCTCATTGGAATTGATTTATGATAATTACAGATAATATTTAATCATGTAACACTAATTGCTTGCAGTGGATCTTAAGTTTTATCAAAGCTTAATTGGAGAATCATAAGTACAAGGAGTAAATTTTAATTATGAAATACATAAAAAAAAACTCTTTTTAGTAAATATACAAGTTGCCTAGTAGTTACTTGTTAAGAAGGATGTCCCATCCACTTATTAAAAGACCATGAGCAATTTAGACAAGACGAAGTTTAGAAGATTTCATGCAAAAGCCAATTCTGAAAGGAGTAAGGAAGATTAAACTTGCGAGTGCTTATGATGGAGATCGGTTTGCTAAGGTTCGCATCCTTCCCTCATTCACTCTTTCCCAAATAGATATCAATGACTCCCAGAAGAGCGCTAATGGTCTACTTATCCTCAACAATATCAAAATAGTACTGGCTTGCTCTCAAAAGCAATAAATATTAGTGGAATTGCATAAAAAACAAGTTCGAGTAAAATTTCAAATGCTTTGTATAAGAGTACCACGGACCTTTTGTAACGTTCAAAACTTGAAGTTATATATATTAGCTCATTAGTCCCATGGGATGGAAAGGAGAAAAAAAGAGAAGAAAAGAATTTAGACAAGGTCTCAGTCGATTATTGTCTTGCGGCGGGAAGAGCTTTGAAACTTCCTGTTTGCAGCAGTACTAAGCAGCGCTTCCTGTCGATTCGTGGCGCACTCTATATATTCTTGCAAAGGTGGAAGGTATGTTTGTTCGCCATCCTTGTATACTTGTCCTCGAATTATCTGTCCAATCATGAATAGGTGCTTTTAAATATTATCCCAAGAACACTATTAACAGACAGAAAGTTGAAAAAACATATATATATTCTTACCTTTGATGCCCAAGATCGTTCTGCTTGCAGACAAACATCTCTAATATCTCTTCCAGACATACTGAAACAATAAAAACCGATGAACAGGAAAGGAGTGAAAAAAATAGTGCAAAATAATTTAATATGACAGTAACTTATCGTAGCATATTGAGGTTAGGAAAAAGGGCTCGGGTCTAGTTACTACGATTCCATATTAAGATTTAAGAATGTGCCATGGATGGTTGAAGCAAAAATAATAAGATAAATACGTCTCCCTCATCTTCTACCCTCTTACTTTCACTACCACCAATCTGTACGCGATAACTCTAGTGGGGAACTCAAAAGATAGCCTAACTTACTCTTCTGTAACTCTTGCAAGTTCGTCTAGTTCGGGTCTGGATAGGTGCTTTGCATATTTGGATACTATTTCCTGACGAGTATGATGATCAGGTAAGCCAAAAGTAATCATTGTATCAAACCGACTACAAGAAGAAAGAGAAACAACAGTCAGGATAATTAACCTACATGATTATGTAAACTTTGCAAGCTATTAAGCAATTTGTATTAAAGCTCACCTGATTAATGCAGGATCAAGGTCTTCTTTTCTATTTGTGGCAGCAATGACAACAACCTTCTTATCCTGCTCAAAGCCATCTATCTGCAAAATTTGTTTCATCCATCGGTCAAAAATCACTTCCTATTAAATCTCGACTAGTAAGGATAAAGATAAAGAGAATTCTTGTACACAACCTTACCCTTATATATTTGCAAAGAGTCTGTTTTCCGGATTTGAACCTCTCAGTCATAAAAGAGCAGCTTTACCACTGCTCCATCCGTCATTTAAATCCATAAAAATTTAAACTTTGAGCAAGTTTGATAAAGTTTGGATGAGTTGTTCATACAAGAGTTTATATAACAAGGATTTATTCTATACTTATCAGTTATCAAAGTCAAGCCGTTTAATGTCTTATGAAAGTAAGGTCAACAGCTTTGATCCTTAAAATAATATATCAATACTCAATAGTATAAAAAATTAATCTAAACAACTACAACCAAATCTTATCCCACTACATGGAGTGGGTAACCAAGAGAATGAGCTTGAGCGTTGAGCAATATTAAAGTTGCTCATTTTGTGACCGAAAGGTCCTAGGATCGATTATAGGAAATAGTCTCTTTACAAAAATGCAAAGGTAAAACTGCTTGCAAAGATTTTCTTAACCCAATCCTTGCAAGCTGAGGTATAATGGGGAACTCTTTTATTGAGCTCTATCAAAAACCAAATCATATCATAAACTAAAACAAACAAGTAAATAATCTTGATGAGCAATTATGATGCTAAAAAAGAACTCTCAAGCTGAATGTAAGTCTATCAACGCTCACTATAATATAAAACTCTTAACACAACTTCAAGATTCACCTGTCGTAGTAGTACTGACAATATTCTACGTGTGGCTTCATGCATTTCACTATCACGAGCAGCAGCAAAAGAATCAATCTGCATTTCAAAGAGGACACAAAGACCATGTAAATAAATTTAAATGGAAAATCAATAAGAGGCATATAGCAACTCCTCATCAACATTTCTTGTTTCATTACCTCATCCAGAAATATAATAGCACCATTAGGAAGATTGTTTGCAAGTGAAAACACTTTCCCTAGAAGGCGTTCACTTTTACCGTAGAATTCAGACATTACTACCTCAAGTGGCACATATAGCAAAGGGACACCCTGCCAAGTCAAGTTGTATGCTGATTTCAGTTCACTGTATAGCCAAGCACAAAATACAAAATCCTACGTAACATATGCCACATGATTCACTATATTGATTATTGAAGACATGGGATCACTATATCAAACCAAGCTAAAACCCACAAACATTGTTATTCAAACTAGAAGGCAAAGAAAAAGAATCACAATTTATGTGCTCATTGAAAGGTATTTTACATGCCCCTAAGCTCTAGCTCACGTGGTGCTCCCCACCCCACTATAGGTGGAGGTATGGAGTTTGATCCCAATCCCCCCTTTCCCTTGCCCAAGAATCCCAGTCGGCATGCCCCCCCCCCCCCCCCCCCCCCCCAAACCCCCACCCCGAAAAAAAAAAAATGCCCCATAAAAATGAAGGGTACTTCGTATATTAAGCCTATTACGCAAGATGATGGTCCCAGTCAGACAACACCCACGCACCATTTCCTATCCTTTGTAAACACAGGTGCACAAGTGTAAAGGCAATTGCACCGTATTAAAGTGATAAATTACCCATCCACAAAGCAAGTCTTTTGAAGAAAACAACATAGGAATCAATTCTTGGAGAACCTAAACTCCTCCAATGAATTAACAGTGACCACAATAACATTCTTAGAGCATAGCTGTGGTGGAAGGTACAAAGTCAAACATTTTTGTCAGGCCAAATGTAAAATACGAAGCAAAACCACAATATGGAAACTTACAGAACAACAACCATACAAATCAAATTGTGAAACAATGAAAACTGTGTGTGAGTAATAGTATTACATAAAATAAGGATATGTAGAGATATAAATCACCATTTAATCAATACATGATGCAGTTTCCCCATAACAGATAAATATAGCTGAACAACAAATATAGCAACAAGCAAGTGGAACATATCCAATGTGGCTAACAACATCATATCATTCATGACCCCTTAAATAATGTCTCAAGGACAGCTTTAATTTATTATTGTTCTTCAGTTGAGGACAGTAGGATATTCAATAACCAGTGCAATAATAAAAGTAAGGGGTACAGCTGTAAAATATTTAAAAACAGCATACCGCTTGATTGGCAATAACACGAGCACAAGAAGTTTTCCCTGTACCTGAAACCATACAAATGTGTCATTCAAACATATGACTTGAAGAATGAAAACTAAATGTCATACAATCGTCATAGTAACTATCTTCTCACTAAATTGAGATTCCAACCTTATAGAAAAACACCTTCACAGATACAGTTTCCTTATCAAGACAGTGTTATAGTCTCCTACTCTATGTCTAGTATCCAATACGAGAAATAATAGTAGTTTGATGATCATAGGTACATTTAATACACCGAAAATGCACATAAATAAAATGACTTCATGTTGTATTCTTGGTCAAACCATTTAAAAAGAGCTATATAAACGGTAATACGAAAATTTTCACTAAAAACTAATGGTTCCCTAATTGTACCCCATATTCTCACAATTAAAGAAGCCTGGTCATTTTTAAAATTAATAATTTAAGAGAGAGCTTTTAAGTCTTTCTATGCAAAATAGCATAAAACTTGCATATTCTTCAACATATCAGACAAGAGCACCATTCATGGAAAAATAAAGGGGCCTTCAGTAATGGAAAAATTTCCACATCTTCCAGAAAAATATTTAAAAATTAAAAACATGTTCCGTTCCATGTAGTAGTTTCAAATTCATGTTGGTAAAGAGAATTCCTTCTTACAGGACAGTAATCATGATTGAACAGATTTTTTTCACCTTTATTTTTTTTTTTTTTGTGTGTGTGAAAAAGTTTAGTTTTTTTTATTTAATAAAATGAAATTAAAAACAAAACAGAAAACTTACTCCAAACTAAACACTCCCTAAATGCTTAACATTACTTAAATATATAGAAAACACATAAAAGAGGCTAAAATGACACACCTGGTGGGCCTTCAAACAGCACAGCTCGGGGTCTGTTTGACTCAAACTTATGACGAGTTCCTCGAGCAATGTCATCATATACTTCAGGACTACGCAAAGCCAATAGTATTGTGTCTTCTATGACTCTAGAAATTAAACAATTAAAGATTAAGTAAATCAAAGTACTTTCCTGCATATTGATAAATGAAATCCATACTTGAGCACACGAGTAAACAGATAATATGAAGTTGTTATAAGCAAACACAATACAAAAAGGAAAAGGGATTAAAAAAATTGAAGTGTTGTCTCAAATAAGATACAGAGATCACACTATCAAATTTGTAGAGAATGACCAACGAATATCTCTTTCTCCTCAAATACAAGTTATTATCTAATCCGTACACAGACTAAGAGCGGTAACTAACAGAAAAATATGCTCTGACCTAACAAGTTTTGCTGAAATACGACACATAATGAACAACGGAGGCCATATCAAGCAATATAATTTTGAAAAGAGAATAAAAAAAGATGAATCAAATGTCTATTTTAGTTTGGTCCACTTGCAGCTCAGGTATCAAAACCATAAAATTGAATTTTTTGTCAAAAACATTCACTTACTAAAAGGAACAGAACACTAAGCTAGTCAGAAAATAAAGACTGAATTTCTAGATTTACATACCGTTTTTGATGCTCATACCCAGCGATGTTGTCCCATGATATCTCACCATTTGATATACCTATGGGTTCATCGAGTCCATAAATTCTTACCCCCATGGCCTCAAGACCAGAAATAGATTTATCTACAGATTGATCCTGTTCAGTCTCTTCCCTTGGCTTTCTTTCAAAGGTGTTTCTTTGTCCCATCTTGTTACCAGCTAATTGTAAAACAGAGATGAAAGCATCAAGCTCTTCAGGACTCAAGTTCCCTTGTTTAATAAATTCAATTTCCTGCAATATTGGCCAAGGAAGATAATTTCTGACTAGTGATGACCATATTTTTTTCGATGAACAAAAGCACAGTAATGTGAAAATGAAATAAAAAAAATGCAAAATTTAAAGACTGACAGCTTTATCTGAGCCAATGAGAGAATGAAATATGAGTACACAAAGATCTCCATCATGTGCATTTATATCTGTTGTAGATGAATCATTCACTTGACCAGGCTTTTGCTTGGATGGATGAGTAAGGGTAAGTTGCCAAGCAACTGTGCTGTGGATTGGTCACAAGAAACATTGAGGATTGTAACTAAATTTAGTGTATCACTATTGTATAGGACATAACTCAAACATGCAGACTAGCATTCCCAAAATCACAGAAATTGAGAATGAAGTACCTGTCCCAAGCACGCAATAACATATCTGAACCACCACCATGGCCTTCAGCTTTAAGTCCAAGATGCGCAGTAAGATTTGCAATAAGTTGTGAAATTTCACAACCGGGAGGAATTTGAAACTTAACACTGATCTATAATTGTAATTACAGCATCAGCTATAGTTTGACTTCCATTGCAGTAAAAGAACATCACATCATCAAAGCTAGCACACAGTAATTGAGAGTTATGCCTTTACTTCAAATCATTGCGGATAAACCAGTTGTTTTGTTTCCCATTCAATTACCTTATATTTAAATCTAAGACGTATTAAGAAAATCATGGAATAAAAAAGTGCAATAACCTTTTGGCCTTTAACAGCAACAATGAAGCGAGGATAAGAACCGTATCGAATTCCTCTACTTCTAAGCAACTCCTCAATTCGCTCGCGTTCTTTCTTAGCACTTTCTTGCACATCCTCGTTAGCATGATCCGCGTATGCTGTTTCCACCAATCCAATTCCAAAAATACCAGCTAATACAGCTGGAAGCAACGAATACGGTCCCGGATGCTCACGCGAAACTCGAGAACTTGAAACATCAGAAACGGAGGAGGTGGACCAAGCTGGTGCAAATTCTACACAGAATCAATCATAAATCATTCGTGCACATGAAGCCTTCAAAGAGCCCTCGTTGGAGGTAATATAAAAATAAGAAATCAAACGCAGCAACGTGTTTGTAAAGAGATTGATTGTGATTTGAGAGAGAGAGAGAGAGAGAGAGAGAGAGAGAGGAACTTACTGGAATATGAAGAACGGGGAAGGCGGCGAGAGGAGTGACAAGTTAGGGTGTGGAAAGTGGGATATGAACGACAACGCCACGCTTGTGCTGCTCTCACTAACCGCTCCATTGTAGAGCGCAGAAACAACCACCACATTTAAACCCAAGCGGGGATGCTGTAATATTTAAGTAGGTATTGCGTTTTCTCCTATGATAGGAGAGTGCTGGGCTCCACTGGTTAAAAAAATATATATATATATTTGGCAAAAGTCTTTTCTTCCCTACAGAGAAAGAAATATTACTCTCTCATATGTTTATCATATACAAAGAAGAGAATATTACTCTTATGTTATCCAAGCGAAAAAAAAAAATTATCGTAGAATTTATTATATTTTCTTTTTCTTTTTTATTTTCTCTCCTTTAATTTGTAGATGCATGATAAAAAATTTCTCTCATAAAGTAATATTCTCCACCAAGAAAACGTGATAACACGGGTGGCAATATGGGTTGAGCCCGGCGGGTCAACCCGCCAAAACGGGACGGGTTGGGTTGAGATTTTTAACCCACCAACCCACCTCAACCCGCCCCGCCTAGAAGTGGGTCAAAACGGGTTCAACCCGTCGCGGGGCGGTTGACCCGTCGGGTTTTAAATTTTTTTATTATTTTTTTACAATTAGGTAGTATTTCATTAGTACTTAAATTTTTGTGATATTCAATTTTTTTTTATCTTAGTACTTTCTAGAAAAAATAAAGAATAACAATTTTATTTATGACAAATGTTATCTATTTATAAATTTCTAAAGAATGTTTGACAAATATTAATATACATTTAAGATTGAGACTAAAAAAAATATAGAGAAGTGCGAAATAAAATAAAATAATATTAAAAAAATTCATAAAATATAATTTATTTTTGAATTTTAATTAAATTTTTTTAATTGGCGGGTTGGTGGGTTGACCCGCCAACCCACCATAAAACGGGGTGGGTTCATTTTTACAACCCATATTTTTTGCCGGGTTAACCCGCCCCGCCCCGTTTTTGGCGGGTTGGTGGCGGGTCGGGGCGGGTCAACCCAAATTGCCACCCGTAGGTAACAGGAACAACTTTTGTATCGCACTCTTTTACGTGTAAATTTTTTTTTTTTTGGTACACTAGAGGGCAAAGCCCCAAGAAAGCAAAATAAAAAAATAGCACAAAAGATACACCAATCAATCACGACCTTATTACTACTACTCGCAGCACCCTTATGATTATGGGTGGCAAAAATGAGCCAACCCATCGGGTTGGTTCGTAACCCACAAAAAACGAGTTTGGTTAAGTTGGCAAAAATGAGTTGCAAGCCCGACTCGAGCCAACTCGGGCTCAAACGAGCCAGCCCGCGGGTCAAACGGGCCTCGCGGGTTACTCTTTTTAAAAAAAATAAATAAAATACAACAAAAAAAGTCACGCCCATGCACACGGGTCAAACTGAGATCACACATTTCACACTCACTCAGTCACAAACTCACCAGTGACCAGTCACCCCAGGTTCCTGTAAGAACCTGCACCGTTAATTAAGGAAATTAATCAGTTAATTATGAGTTTAATGAGATAATTCCATGATTGACCCTAATAATTATTATGAGGCTCTAATAATTATAGTAAGTGAGTAATAATGCTGAAAGTCGCTTTTCGGAAGAAAAGTGCAGATACCGGTTCTGCTAGTCGGTATAAATGCGTACCGAAAAAGTATCCCGAAAAATTATAATAAGTGCATGATAATTCTTAGAATAATATATAAGACTTGTAAAACGAGCTTCAAGTTAAAATAATGAGAACTAGTGCCAGAAACTGATACTGGCTATGAAAACGCATACCGGAAAGGTGCTCCAAAAAATATAAGAAAAATATCATAATTCTTGTAAAATTTGAGTAGGTTAAGAATCCTGAGTTTGAGATTAAAATGCTAAGCGTAGCAATTAAAGTTAATACTGTGTTTTTTTATTCTTAAGTGGCTATATATACTTAAAAGGCACATGATCCTAGGTCTGAATTGCCACCCTACGTGCCTCTATTTTGCTGAAACACCTCCAGCCACCCTTTGCCACCTTCTCCTCCATTGTTGTGAGTCAAAGAGCTTCATTTCTTCTTGTTTCTTCTCCAAAATACCTTGGGCTTGTGAGAGCTTGCATGGTGGGGGAGTGTGAGTGTACATTCTGAGTTCCAGCCGCTGTGTGTTGGTGAGGGTGCTAACCTTGTGAGGTTTGGGTGTTGAGAAGCCTTGGTCATGGCATTTGGAGGTCCAAGTAGTGACCTTTGAGTTGAAAGAACCAACCTTTGGTGGAGCATTTTCGTTTTGGGATCAAGTCAGAACCTTTGGAGTGGGTTGTAAGCTCCAAGAGCCTTCCATTTCTGAGTTTGAAGCTTTGGTGAGTTGTCTAACCTTGATCATGAGTTTAAATGATTCAAAGGTGGTGTCTTTGCATGTAAATGGGTTAAGCAAGTAACTAACATGTGTATGAACTTGTATAGACCTAAAAATGGAGTCTTTAACGCTTTTAATTGGTAAAAGTTGGACCTTTGGTGGATATCTTCGCGAAATGCAGAAACTGCATTCTGTCGCGAAATATCCGGATATTTGATCGATAAATGTCCGGATATTGATATCCGGATATGGATATCCGGATATTGCCAGTGAGATATCCGGATATGCCCCCGACATATATTTGGATATTCTGGGATTTCGAGGAACAGTAAGGTACTGTTCATACAGAACTGGGCTATGGGTTTGTGGACCCTATTTTGATGAAGTTAAACTTCTGTAAATACTTGACTAAGTCAGAATCAAGGGATTAAGGGCTTATGGCTTTGTGAGAAGCCTTAAGACGTAAAACGTAAAAGGAAAACGTAGTCTTTATGTTTATGCTATTGAGCTATGAATATTGATATGCTTGCTGGTCCTAAATCAGATTGTGATCTGCTGTGTTTGGACATTGAGCTTGTGTGGACTGGACTTGGATTGATTGCTTAAGAGGTAAGCTTTCGTGTCCTCGGTTTAACCATGTTGTGGTTCCACCATGTCCCATGAGGGTATGGTTATATGCATGCTGTGTTACATGCTTTGATATATTTGGAATGCTGTTGAGCTTTATGTGTAATGACTTTTAATATGCATGTGTTGTTCCACTTTGACAGTTAGCATGAGTATGTGGCGTCATACAAGACGGTGACAATGTGGGTGGGTGCAAGTGGCGTCTTGCATTAGTGTGGGTAATAGACGTATTCCTCCATTTCTCTGGCCAGTAGAAAAGTATTGACACACATGACATGATTATCTGCTGCATTGTACTGTTTTAGAAATGATATTAATGAACTGCTTTTGAACTTATATTGCACATGTAAGTGAGCTTGGGGTGGAAGATCCTTGGGGACCCCTTGTCTTACTGAGATTTCTTTTTTAGAGATCTCACCCCACGTTTGGGGCGCTTATTTCAGGTTCAAGTAGTATGGGGACTGATGTCTCTGGCGGCAACAGGCCAGAGCTTAGTTGATGTTTATTGCTGTTTATTATACTAACATGACTGGATTGGATGCGTTTTATGTTTTCTGCTATTTATGATTATGTTGTTGTTGAGACTTATGTTGGGGCTTTGTTGCCTTAATTGGGTGAGCATGAGAGTTGTCCATGCCACTATGTTGTTAGTACTTTTGAGTTGAGTTGTTTAAACTTCTAGTTGGTCCGGTCTACGTGTGGTAGTTCCGTGACTAGAGACATACTTATGTTATTTAATTAATGAGGTCTTTCAGTTAGCTGTTTATTGCAATGTACATACAAGCGATGTTTTGAAAATGGTTAAGTAATCAAGTTGGTAATGATTAATGACATCATAATTGAAAAGAAAAAGATATTCTGCATTTTTAATTAAGCGCAGCTTAATACGATAGTATGATAATATTACCGGATATATACGGGGTGTTACATCCCCCACCCCACCCACACCGACAGCGAAGACATCGCGGGTTCTCTCTTCCACCGGTTTCGTTCCTCTTCTACAACACACACCGGTTCTTGGCAACACCACACGGTCAGATTTTAAGGGGGGGTTTCCCCCTTTCTTCTTGTTTTACTGATTTTGTTAATTTTTTATTCCCTTTTCCAGATCTTGGCAACACACACCGGTTTGGTTTCAGGTGTGTGATTCAGCAGCCACCGTGCTCCTCTCTCCTAGGATTCCGACCACCACCAACTTTACCCGCTGCTCTGGTTTGCCTTGTCTCCCTCCTAGTTTTGACTTTTCTTTACCATCTTCCCTTTGACTGTTCTTAAAATTAAAGATCTTGATTCTTCCTGTGTGTTAGAAATATTTTCCTCCCTTCTCAGGTTACATATATTTGACTAGGTTCTGTCATCACATAGTTTGATTTGTGAATTGTGATTTTTGATGATTGTTGTCGCAATTGAACTCCAGGATATTTTTCACTAATAATTTTTTTTGGTTTTAATCTTTTGGTCTGACGCCTTACATTTCAATCTATGGACTTTATATGAATGGTTTTTGGGTTAGAGGCGAACTTGGTTGGTTTCCCTTCAATCTAAAACTGTTAGATGTTAACTAACAAATCCATTTGGATTTTTCCTACATTTGCTAACTGATATATCCATAGAACGACTGGTTTGTGGCATACTTGTGCATTGTTTTACCATAGGGTGTAGCTTGCACGGCAGGTAGCATATCTTGTCATTTATCCTTGGGTTGGGGATAAGTAATTAATAGACATGCTTGCTGACTTTGCTCCTACAATCTGAATTACAATTTTATGATTGGATGTTGGCTTTGTTGGAACTTATAGCTATTGCTGAGGTTTCTTATTGTCCAGGGAAAAATCGATTAATAAGTTGTTAGAATACTAGGGTATTAATCACTTTTGTTTTATGATATTACTAAGATGTGGGTAGTACCTGATTTGAGCCGTTTGACAAATCTTCAAGTGCTGGAATTGGATGATAATGCTTTTGGACCTCAGTTTCCGCAGCTTGGTAAAAAGTTGGTTGCTCTAGTGCTAAGAAATAATAGGTTCAAGTTTATATTATGAAGGTTATTTAAGATGGGGAATATACATGAATAAAATTGAGTTCTCAGCCCCATCAAGTAAATACTAATTATATTA